TACTCAGAAACACTCAAAGAACTGAATCGCTGCGTTTGAATGAAATAAATCCCTCTTTCCCATTGCGCCAATGAAGAACTAGAGCAGTGGAAATGAGCTCTGTACACCCTTTCCAAAAACACAAATTCTAAAGCGCTTTCTGTCCAATATGCTCACTAATTCTCGCTTGTTTTTCCCCCCAACTTTTCTTCCTTTTAACCGTGTGGTTGTGTAAAGCGTTGGGCTACCGGCCACAATCGATCACTGACCTTGCAGAAGGGGCTCGGATGTTCACCCACGAGCTGTACGTGCTGACCATCATTTTTATTGCAGATGCTTTTCGAGTCAGACATCCGTGTCAAAGCACCAGATTTCCCCCTTTCTTCTCAGCCAACTTCACAGTTCATGCACGGTTTACAGTTTATATCTTGCATTATCACGATCATTAAGCTCAAAAGGCAACAAGCCCGAAACCGCGAAGCTATTGATGTTAACACACGTACAACAAAACGGACATGGGAAGGGATTTAAAACATATTTCACAATGTTTTTTTAGATTCCAAAGGTTAATCAACTTTTTTAACATTAAGAGAATTATAATGATTCTGTAAACCGCAATGTTATTTTACTAGGACATCATGACAAAGAGGGAAGAGAAATTAGAGATCATTCTAATGTGGGTCACAGCAAAACCACACCCCTGTAGGCAGCCACTATGATTAGTTACAGTTTATGGTCGCCATGTTTCTGGAGAATTCAATTACCCAAGAAACTTATATGTGAAGCAGGAAAACATTACATTTAGTTTCTGTCAACGTAAACGTTTCTCTGAGATTTCTACGCCAGGTCTGAGGTACAACCAGAGGCACCAAAGCGCCGAAAAATAATTATACAAACCGTCCACCTTTACTTTTCAGAGGCATTCTTAGAGGCTCGAAATGCGAAGGCAAGGGTTCTAGACAACACTGTAACACCATTCCACAAAACAGCATAACGTTAGCTTATCAACTCGACGCCTGTCTGCTGGCGATATAATGTACATAACTCTTTACTCGTCTGTCCAAAAGTATGACTACGTCTCTGCAGCTGATGTAAAAATGACGGCGTTTCGCCTGAAATTATCCATTTTCTACACGGTGGTACGCTGGGGCTCTGGGATTGGAGTAGTGGATTCTAACAGGCTGAAGAAGCTCATCAGGAGAGCAAGCTCCGTCATTGGGTCTGGCCTGGACCCCCTGGAGGTAGTGGCTGAGAGGAGAACGGTGTCCAAACTAGAGGCCATCATGGACAACGTCTCCCATCCCCTCTATGACAGACTTGCAGGAATGAAGAGCACGTTCAGCAATAGACTGATCCATCCACGGTGCGACAGGGAGCGCTACAGGTCATTCTTGCCTTCTGCCAAGAGACTGTACAACACATCCACCTTGCGTCTGGGCAGAGGCAACATTGACAGTGACCTGTTTCTGGACTGAAC